CCCCCAAAACTGGATCAAAATCAATTCAAAAGGTGATATTCGTAATCACCGTGAAATTTTGCATCGAATGATATAGTTTTAAGTGAAAAATAAGAACTTGCAATTCTTTTGAATTAGCGGCGCCTTATATGCGAGATTTTTGTGAGAAATGAAAAGGGGTATAGAGTAAGTCTAGGTTATTGTACATTTCGCAGCAATTCGTGCAACGTATTTGGTAGGTGGATAAGCCTAAAAATAAATTAGTTGCTTTGGATACAAAGTTTCATTTCACACTGAATTTATAATTACAACCTACTGTCATATATAGAGATACCAGTGTATGTGCACACTTCCTTCCTTGGCCGTTCGCATAAGTTATTGTGTTTTGCATCACTCGTAACTGTTTCGCTTTTCTCATAGTCTTTCGAATTTCAACTCATTCTGTTCACAGTATGTACGGAATCAAAATTTCTTGCCACAGTGCCCTTCTAAAGTATTACTGAGATGAAACGAATGCCCTGCTAATGCTTGGTACGTATCTGGCTCTCCTTCACACACGCAGGAATGTGATGCAGAAAATAAATGCGTTGGATCCTGAATCCTTTTTTTTATTGTTCACTCATTTACTTACATTGGGATATACTGACTTAATGTCTTCCATTCCAAAGCCACTAGAATCCGATGATATTCAAAATGAAAACTTTCTCTTTTGAAGTTATTAATAAATTCTTCTCGTGTTCTGTACCTTCCGAGGATTGATAATAATGAAAAAACTTGAAAATTTTTCAGACGAAAAATTTTTAAATGCAATGACACAAGTTTTCACGAAAGTTAAGCTATTTTTGAGATGATACACATTCTTTCACGGTAGTTGCCTTCTTCATTCCTCTTGAACATTGTTTCCGAACTTGATCATTCTTCACAGTATACTGCAGCCAATTTAATATCCATATATGCCAGCTTGCAAAACATGATGTCGGTTTAGTCTATTTATTTATTTATTCTCGGTGGCCAAGAGAAAGGGCGTAGACAAAAGCTGGAGGCTTATCGATGTCTATCCCATGGCGCACAAATACACACAAAAATAAAAATAAAAATTACAAATTACACATGACTAGTTCTTAGAGGAACTGTTGTATTTTTAACACAAATAGCTTGAAAGACGAGAGTTTCACAACATCGGGCGCTAAGCTGTTCCAGTCTTTTATTGTCCAAATTAAGAAACTATGACTCATGACCGATGTAGAAAAATTAGGTACTTCAATTTGAAATAAGTGTTTGCGAGGAGAATGCCGTGTTGTTGAAAACGAAATAAAGGGAAAACGGGTCAGAGCCGTACATCCCATCAACGTTTTCCAGAAATATTTCAGGCGGGTAATTTTTCTCCGTCGCGTCAAGCATTCGAAGTGGGCAATTTTCTGAGACTTATGAAGAAGAAGAGACAAAATCGCCACTTATGATACGAGCAGCAAGACGTTGAACTGAATTTAAGGGCTCTAAATGGGTAGAATATGAGGTATCATAGACAATTGCTTCATACTCAAAGACAGGTCTTACACAAGTCTCATAGAGATGTTTTTTCAATTTGGGGGTCGACAATCAATCTCTCAATTCGACAGGGGCATCTCGAAAAGTTCGATGGATCACACCCAGCATTCGACTGCATTTCATCGCGACTTTTTCAATGTGACTAGCCCATTTTAGGTCATAAGAAATGTAGAGCCAGAGTAGCTTGATCTCACTCACCCGTTCGAGGAGAATTTCTTCTAACCTGATAATAAATAGCTGGTGATTGAGAAATAGGCCTACGGTCGAAAATCATCCACTGACACTTATCAATAGTTGAATGAATTTCACTTTTTCCCCTTACATACAAGTAGCAACGAGAATACTACCTTTTGATGACAACATTTTTTTATAATATAATTTCAATGCCGTCGTCGTCGTGTAGGGGTGATTCAAACAGAATTTAAGAAATAAGAAAAAAAAAGAATAACTGAAGTGTCGTATAAATACTATCATTGCATTTTCAGAACAAAAAATTTACGTCAAAAAAATGTTACATTTTTCTCTATATACTTTTTTTTTCTTCATTTTTCAGATGTATGATGTCTAACCTTTAAAAAAAGCGTTTCGACGTTTTTTTTTTGTTGAAATATGTAAGTATGTTTTTTTTTCCTTCTTTTTTCTTCCTTTTCAGCATCATCAAGGACTTTGCATCGTAAAAAAAAATGAGAGAAGGTCGTTTATGTTCCGTCGATGAGCACCTTTATTTCAAAAATTGCACTTTATTAATCAAATAGAGAGAGAAACCTCAATTTATTTCCAATTTGAAATTTTCTACATCAAGTACACGTGGTGTCGTTTTCTACCATCTTCTGTGAGAAATGAGGATGATATTTTTTACATTAAATATTTTTTGTAAGTAAAAAGAAAATTCATTGAAGATTAAAAAGATTAACTTAACATCTATTGTAATGACCTTCCATAAGGAATAATAACTCGTCACTTTTTCACTAATAATTCATGTAATTTTCCACTATATATTTTGTCGAAACTCATTCACAAAATAGCATTATTGGTCTCGTATGAGGCCAAAAGACACATTTTTGGAAACTTTTGTCGTATTTTTGCGAGTTCTCAGTCTATTTTGATCGAAAAACTTGCTCTCGAGCATGGTGGAAGATCAAACATTTCTCTTCTTACTGATACAAAAATCTTCTGAAAATATTCGATAAGTCTTCAGCCGGTTCTGAAATGTGAAGAGCCTCGTTCAGGTGTCTCTTACCACTCTACTCGTGATAAAAAGAGGCAGTGCATTCAAATGCAGAAAACGCTTCGTCTGACGACTAACTTTACCAGTATAGAGTCCTTCGACAAGCCCGACCATTTCTTTACTTATCGTCATCCGAAGTATTTTCTTTCTTCCTTCTGTGTAATTTTAGCATTCAGTTATAGGACCAACCGTCAATCGATTTGTGAGTCTTATTTATGTTTCCCGCTCAATCTATTTTAGCTATCTTATCTAAATCGTGTGTGATTGCTCGTTATTTTTTTGGATATGCTTTTTATTGAATAGTAAAGTTCTTACTTATCTCGTAGCCTCAACAACCCAACTTTTCAAATATTTTTCTTTATTATACAGTCTTTAATGAATGAATCAGGATTCAATTTGATTGTGTTGCATTTAACAAAGAGAAGGCAATTCCGCCGTAAACCTCAGCTTGCAACGAAAAAAAAGTTATTCCTTCTGTTGCGGGAACGCTTTTAAATTGAGGACTCTTCATGAGGAGAACTTGACTCGAGACAGTCCGTCAATCGAGTTTTTCTCAGTACCACTTTTCTGGCTCGTGAATGCTAAGGCTTTCAGTAATTCTCTCTCCTTTATCAAATGTAATCCGATTAAATTGATGCGTGCTTCTGAAAGACGGTAGAATTTTGTCTCTCAGAACTTGCTGAATCCTATAAAAATAATAAATAATAAGAAGGTAAAAATGTAAGGTGCTGACAATTTAAAAAGTATCTCAATTTTCTCTAAAATTGAAAACAGGATTTTCACTCACTTAAAATTCAAAATTGCAGAAAAAATTTCGAAACACACGCTTTCAAACTCAGTTTTTAACGCTGATTCCGAAAATGCCACTATTTTTGTCGAAAAGTTGAATTTTGATAGAGGAAACGGTAGAATACGAGCCCAGCTTCGTTGTTTTTTCTCTGATTTCGATAAAACTGAATTTCTGGACAACAAAACAAAAGTTTTCACTTTTTTCCCACAAGTACGGCTGTCAGAATGAAGCAAAAGAAAGAATTTTATCTTCTAAATCCTAGGACTAAATAGGTATTGCAAAATTGACTGACAGTCTCTTTAGCATTCTGTTCATGTTTCGCAGATTCTGAATCCATTTTAGCTTCTAAAATCCCCAAAACTAGCTTTCCAGACTCAGTTTTGAATAGAAAATAAGAAAAAATGAATGGTTTTGGAATTTTAAAAGACGCCCAAACATGCTATCTTTTAGAGAGAGAGGAGAATAAGAAATATAGAATTGCTGTAAACATTTTTTTCATGTAAATTAGAGTCTCTATCAGAGTAAGTTCAATTTAAATAAAAATAGTTGCAAGACTTTCGCCCATCATCTACGATCATCAACAGGCAATATACTCTTTTTTGAGAGATAGTCCGTTGTCTTTCTCAACGGACAATCTCTTTTTTTCACAATACATTTGATTATGTGCTAATTAGCTTAATTTTAAGTTTAAACGCTAATAATATTAGAATCATATAGCAGAGAGAGGAAGATCTGAGCTACAAAATGGGATATTTTGAAATAATTATCTCTCGAACGTAATGACAATTAATATGGCTTATAGGGGCGTAAAAAGAGATCGAAATGTGAGGTGAAACTCAGTTACTCATTTTGTAATAGTATAAACGCGAAAAAATATATCACTATTTGAAAAGAAGAAGAGAGAAATAAAATTATTATGTTTGGTTACTGAGCAACCATCATTAGTGTTGAGTACACTGTGACAATTTGGAGAAAATACCCCATAAAAATATACTATATAATAGGGAGGCAAATAAAGAAATAGTGTTGTTTTATAGTAAGTATTTACACATAGTTTCTATAAGAAACAAAAACACACATAGTTTTGGTTATTAATACTCATGAATGGGTAATTTATTTTTTTGTTCATGTGTTCGAACAACACGTGTATTTACTAGACTCTTCTCGAGTTTGTCTTCTTACGGTTGCGCAAGTTTAATGAGAAGGCGAGAGAATATATAAGCGGATCATACTTTTTGCTTATAACGAGAGCAGAAAATCTGAAGAATATCAAGTAATTACTATTCATTTCAAAGTGTAGTGGTTATGCTTCTTGAATCATTTTTTATCAGAAGCAGTTAGAGAACTATACTTTTCCCCATTCGATAGATGAGGGTGAAAAAATATACTAAAAAGCTAAAAATGAAAAGTGTTGATTGATTTCGATTTTAACGAGAAACTCTACTTTCTTAAAGATTTTCGTATCCTATAGAGTCAAAAAAGGATATTTCTATGTCGAGATACACTTTTTGGAATCTCTCAGTGGCAAATAGGTTCTGTGAAATTAAAAATACCCTTAAAGGAATCCCACAAAAACAAAAAAAGGTACACTACTAAAATGGTATTGTAAAATACCGTTTAGGGTATTTCGAATTCCACAGAACCAAACAAAAGAGGATATCTGTATTTGTTACTCAAAGATTCCAAAAAAGGTATCCCAACATAGAAATACACTTTTTTGGCTCTGTAGGACACAAAAAGTTTTTAGAGAGTAGGAGGTTATCTACGCATGAAAAAGATTAGTTATTTTGACGTTAAGTCAAAACTCTATCAGAAAGTCTACTTCAAAAACCAAATTTCAAATTTATATTATTTTTATAAAAAGATGTTCCACAGTCTTGTCTGTCGAGTCGCCATCTTAGATATATAATCAATACAATGATGGTTGCTCATTTACCCATATGTTATTCAAAAACACAACCATAGTCATTAAATTTTGAAATAGATACTAGTTTTATTTGTGTTTGAACCTATATATATATATAGTGTTAATATTGTTAAATACATATAGTAAATAATTGCTATATACTATGTTACAGACAAAAGTGATTGTTTTTTGAAAAATATAACGTCATTTTCTTTTCCTGTTTGTTTTTTTAGTTTTTGTACATTATCTGGATGGGCGTACCGTACCAAGATTCGATATGCGTGATAAAGATGGCATTATATACGGTAATTATCATTTGCTTTCTTGAATTTTTAAAAAAATCCAGTGTAAAAATAATTGTATGTTTTAAATGTCAGATGTGTAACAAGAGTGAGATCAGTTCATGTTTTTCTAGAAACCGAACTAAAACTAAACAGAATGTGAAAAAGTATACTGAATTTTTAGTTATATTTTGTTTTTAAAATCGTTTTCAAGTTTTGTAATAATATATCCATACCAAAACAAATTTTTTTATGCGAAGAAAAAGAGACTGCGCTCTTAGTAAGGATCAGTTCAAGTTTCTTGGATTTAAGCTTTTTTTTCTGTAATGAAAAAGCGATTGTACAATAAATTTTATACTATATGTAATTCATATCAAGTTCGAGCGAGAAAAGTTGCTCTTATGTTTTTTTATCTCAGTTTTTCTATTGATAAACTGAATAAACACTCTCCAACGCCGTGTTGTATTGAAATCTATTGAGTGAGGTAAATGAATCCACATCGTTTTTCAACCTCTATTTAATTATGGACTTGAAATGTAAAAAAATAAATGCATTTTACGGTCAAAATGAATTTGATGACTTTTTGATTTTTAACGATCTTTTTCTTGAACAAAACCTATTCAGTTTAGTCAGTAATAAACAATATATATGGAGCTTTTTACATGCTGCATCCAGGTAATCGAATAAGGAAAAAATCATTTTTTTTTGCAATACGTGTATGAGACTAGAGATTTTGGAATCACTTGTGATTATCCTTTCCAACGCCATTTCCTCATAGTATGAATCATAGTTTAATTTTTCAGATCCAATAGCGCCAAGATCTGGGGAACGTTTTATAGCCAAATGCAGTCTTGTTGGTTTGACAGATGATGATAAAAGATCGGTAAGTATATTGTTAGATCTAAGAAATGATGATAGATTAAGAAAATACTACTATTATTGACTTCTCATTTAATTAAATAGGTTAGTTGGGAATTACATCGATTTAATGACAATAAAAGATTTTATTTGGCTACGGATGATCAAGTGTTCCAATTTTACCAACCCAAACAACGTTTATTTGCTGAACACGAATTAGATAGTAACAATTGGTATTTAATATTCGATCCATTAGATCGCGAAGATTATGGCGATTTGACATGTAAATAAACACGTTAAATATTAATATTTCATTTTTCAGTTATTCTACGATTAAATAATTTTCTATATTTAATGAAGGTATGCTAGCTGATACCGGTTATAATACGAGCGTATTTTTGACGAGAAGATTAACTGTTTACAGTAAGTTGTTCATAGATCCATATGTGTCCATACAAGTATCAATATGACATTATTTTAGGTGAACCACTTGTTGTACAATCGTCAACAAAAGATATTGAAGTATCGGAAGGTGATAATGTTGTTTTACAATGTATAGCACAAGGTCAACCTGTACCACAAATACAATGGATGAAAGCAGATGCATCACCACTTCCAGATGGAAATATTCGTACGATTGGTGTACGTCAACTATCAGAGTTATAACAAACAGAGAATTTATTGTTTCTAACATTTTTTCAGAGTATTGAATTACCAATCAATGATATCAAACGACAAGATCGTGGCATTTATAAATGTTTGGCTGTCAATCTCGTGGGTTTTGGTGATACATGGACAATGAAACTAAATGTGAAATGTTAGTAGGAAAGAATCTGTTAGCTCATACTGATTGACCTACAACTGGGTTTTTGTCTTTAACAGTTCCTCCCTTCATTCATTGTCCCTATCCAGAAGTTGGTCAAGCCGTTAATTTTATGGTTGATGTTTACATCGAATGTTATGTACACGGTTATCCAGCGCCACGTATTACTTGGTATAAAAATGATTATGGTGGTATAATAGCAGATCAAACAACCGTCGATGTATTGAAACCAATATGGAATTCATATAAATATAAAATCGAAGCAACAATCCCTGAACCGAATGTTTGCACAGATTGTATATTATCACGTTTAACCGTCATCAATGTTGAAGCTGCAGATCTTGGAATGTACGTTGTCAATGCTACAACTAATGACAAACCGTATTCAACAGCTATTGATACCGTCTCTATATATGGTACGTTTCTATTTATACTTTCCTCCACTTAATGTGTGTTATTCAGGGTGTGTTTGTCTTTTTTCGTTTAGAAACCCCTGAATGTCAACAATTTATTACTCATCGTGACAATATCGGATGTCGTAAAATACGTTTTTCAATCAATTCTGCTCAAAAAAAGGTTAACAACTTCGATTTTAAAATTCTTATTACATTAATTTTAATTATCGGTTTACAGTTAGTAGAAAATATTTCTTAGTTTTTGCTTGTTTTGTGCGCAATATCGAATAGTAATTATATTTTTCCTACTTTTCTACGAAAGTAAAAGTATAGTGTAAGAGATCTTCGACTTTGTAGAGTGAGCTACTAGTAGAGGGTAGGACGAAATGGAAGGAAATGGTACAGATGGGGGTAATCAATGTTCTGCATATGGTTACAGTGAAGCTGCTACAAAATAAATGAATTTTTTATTTGATATTAGACATTAATTGTCGAGTCGAGATGATGCCAGTGAACAAAGGTTTGGATGAATATCCTAGACCAAAACTAGTTAACTCGTGGGTCGGAATAGATCGAATTCGAATCAAATAAAAATTATAAACTTAGGAATCATGAGATTTTTTTCCGTTTATTTATACATGGTTGGACAGAGTACATCAAGCTGAGTAAGAAAAAGTGATTTTTAATTTTTTAAAAGTTTTTTAAGGAAGAAAAATTGAAAAAACTCAAAGAATCTAAAATTTACATCTTACATACATGATAATGACATAATTTATTAAAATTTTCAAGATACAATTATAAGATAAATTTCAAAAATTTTCGAATAGCTTGTTCCTAGGTTTAGAATTTTTTCCGCCACCTTAGTTTTGGAAGGATTGAGAAAGGAGAAATTTGATCCAAAAGAGTCGGAAACGAAAAGTAATGATAATTAAATGAATGGAGAAGGACGAACAACGTCTGTTCACGAACATCATGTGTGGTGTTGGGCAAGCCACTTAGTCGAAATGCCTAAGGTGAACTCAGCCTTTTTCAAAGTGAGTTGAAATGAATCAGACAACATGCTATATAGTGAAATATGCTGTTGTTATGCAATACGACTTGATCAGCTAACCCTGCTATTAGAGTGTGACTCCGTCACAATTTCTTTGTATGACAAGATGCTGAGGGATCTCAGATGTCTCAAATTAAAGGCAAAAGTGTGCTGAACATTTTGAGATGTTCCAACATTCTGCACAATCTATCGTTCAGTAGCTGTAACAAAAATACGAACAGCTACTTTTCAGACCTTAGCCGATAATGTTGCTGTTCGTATTTTTGTCACAGCTGCGGACGATTATTCTGACAAAGTCACAACGCTGAGGAATACTACATAAACACACAAGTTGACAAATTACGCAATGATGTGGTATGCGAAATTTGTTGATTCGTGTGATTATGGTTCCAAAACCGAAGGGCACTCATCCGCTAGTGCTCGGATGACCCGGCCATTTTACTGAAATGTGCTATTATTTGCTATTATTTAACCGTTAAGTGTTGAAGGTTAAATTCAAGACATCGGTTTTGCGAAAATTAATTTTTTAACGGAAGGAAATGTAATCACGCGGTATAATGACAGAAAACGACCACATATCTAAACTAATTAATCCTTTACACCTGATTACATAAAGCAACCTTGAAACTTTTGTCTATGCCGGCTGAAATATTTATTAATATTAATAATTTTCTCAATATTTTTCTTATTGACGCTTCTTACTGACAACCACTAGTTCAGCTTACATTAGAAAATAATCCGTCTCAGACGAAAAAACTACACAACATTAACAGTTAGTCTTTAGTTGACTGGCTCGTGTGATCATGGTTGATTTTGCTGAAGGGCCTCATCCGCTGGATCAGGGATGACCCCTTCAGCCTATAGAATTTAATCAGACTTTTGTCAAAATTTTCAAAATTTTTTTGGTCAAAATTTTCAAAATTTTTTTTTTCAAAATTTCAATTGGATTTTGGTTTGGTCGTCCTGCGATCAATCCTGGATCAGGGATGACCCCTTCAGCCTATAAAATTTAATTAGACTTTTGTCAAATTTTTCATACAAAAATTTTGTGTTATACCGCAATAGAATAGTGATTACTTTTCTTTTTTAACAAGTGCAGTAATTGTTGGATGACAGTTTAAGTATTTTGGAAGTTCGTGTTACCCTCTACTACGTAGCTCCTAATACAGATTCGTCCAGTGAGTGTTTATGTTAGACAGTTTAGTGCATATTCATTTTTATTTTATCTTGTTATACTTTTATTTTTTATTGTATATAAACATTGTATAATATTGTTATGATTGTTTAAGTGTTATTTTTACCATTTTTATAATTTTATATAATAATTAAAAGGTTAGATGCAGTAGTATCGATCCTAAACAAAAGACAAAAACACTTTTCATCTTGTGAAGAAGATCATTGAGTAAAGAACCACTGTGACTTAAAACCGAAGGTTTGTATTTTTCTATATTAGAAATGAATAAACAAAAACCAAACCTCACATCATTTTTAGTACAACTTCAGCAAGTTTATTTATTGTTATCTTGGCTATACGATTATTTTGCTTTAGCATTCACGACTTGTTGTTCATCGTAAAAATAAGGCATCAAAGTATAAGATCAATGAAAAAAAAAGACAATACGGTAAAGTTAAAGGATTTAATAATTCATTTAGAACTCTTTGATCACATTAAACAAACAAGAGTTAAAGTTTTTATTACGTAAAAAACTTGACTTGTCAAATTTTCAAGATACTACTGAGTGATTTGCGCTACCATTGTACCGTTTCTAATTAAAAAAAATGTTAAAAATAAACTGTCTGAAGCTTTTGTTAACGATCTCGTAATTTATAATAGTCACAGCATTGACAAAAAAAGAATAGTTTTTCCGCCTTCTCATTCTATATTTCTTGGAAAACATGATTATCCCGGAAAAAGCCGTGAAATTCCCGATTTTCTTTTCTATAAAATGAATAAGCAAGGTATGGAAGAATAATTCATAAAGACTGATAGACCTCGATGTGGTCCATTCATCTAGACCTGTTTCGGACTGTTAAAGCATCAGTTTCAGTGTAATGCGAGCAATAATGGATTTTTTCAGGACTGATCTGTTCCTCAGTCAAACGTGGATATAAATCCTACCGCGAAGCCTTAAAATATTTACGGTCAGATAGCGCTCGTAAAGACGAATCGAATGGTGTATGATTAGTTGAGTTTCCATCAAGTTTTCATCAAAATATCACAGCATAACGCTCGCAGGACATTTTTGCAGTAAAATTTAGTTTTCTCAAGAACAATAAAATATTTTGAGACAAAAGCTTTAGGATATGTAAAGTATCACAGGTAGAAAAAATGATATAAAAATTAGCGTCAGGGTTTCGGTATTTACGGAGATACAAGCAAAATGAAAAACTCACGGGACAAAGTGTATGTAAAATCAACGAAGCGGAAACTGTTCTTCGAATTGTGAATTAACGACAGCTTCGATTTCTTCTTTTTACTAAACTGTGAGATAAAACCAGGGCAGTCTCTTGGATCTTGGGATTTTTGATAAGGACTACGTTCAACTCTCGCTGGGCTGTAGCATCTTTTTACTCGTAACTGTTTCTGCATTTCTTCATAAAAATCAGTGTAGACGAGTAAATAACTTATATATTCGGAATCTTGCATGCATTTGCTGATTATGGATGTTAAACCACACTGAAACCATATTTCACTGAAGAAAAAAAGAATTGTTGTAGACAGGTGTCGCCCAAAACTAATGTGTATTAAGATGCTAACGTCATATCTCATCAACTGAAACAAATAAAGAGCTCATGTTTTGAGCGGTAGTTGACGAAGATTATACGAACAAAATAAAAATTTAAAAAAACATTCTGTAGAAAAAAAGTTAGTTGATTTTTGTGCTCTGATAAGTAACGGTACAATGACAGTGATTTGAAATCACTACTATAAGATGCAAAAATTCAGATATTTATAGAATTTGTAAATGATTATATTTTCTTCTCAAATTCCAAATGCACTCAAATATTTAAAAAGAAAGTGCATTTTTTTAAATTTTTTTCTCGTTGCTATCAAGTAAAAAAAAAGATTCACAAAATTATGTAATTTATATCTATACATACATACAGCTATGTTTTCTTGAATAATTGTTTACCAAAAAATCAAGAACTTTTGTTAACTATTCGTTTAAACAGTAAAAGAAGATAGGCCAATAAAATAGAACAAACTACTAACGGACTCAAAAGATAATATGCAATAGTAACAAAAATACGATCATTTTAGTGCCAATTCTTTACGAAGTCTCTAAAAGAACAAAACAAAAACGATCAGTCAGAAAATATGTTGCTCACTAACATTTAACCTACTTCAATTTCTAATTCTTTAATTGCTAATTGATGATGATAATCATTATTAACATCTACTTGTTTTCTTAATCTACGAATTTCTTCATCACGACTGGCTTTTTCAATACATTTTAATCTGCAAGAAAAATGTTCGATTGTGTAATTCAAGTGCTCGAATTCTTCATTATTTGTTGTCTTACTTTAATAATTCAATTTCTTTTTGTAACTGATCATTTTCATATTTGACACCACGCATACGATTTATATCGTCGACCATTGATGGCTTTAATAATTCGGATGTTGAATTCTTCGATTTATTATGCTCCAGCTCCTTCACGAGAAAGAAAACGTCAATTAAGATAATCAAACGTAGTAGTAACTTACAGCAACAAGCTTTTGTAATATCAGAATAAGATTTTCATTTTGTATAAGACGTTCATGATCAGATTTCCAAAGACTAGAATACAAAGAAAGTAAAATAAAAATTTACTTTAATGCAGGTAAAGAAAATGATTGAGAGCATCGCCGCCGCATCCCTTGCTCACACTTCCAAAGGATAGAAAATTATAATTGATCCTTTCAAAGACTTTTCAAGTTCTCCGTGTGGATGAGTTGAGGGGTCGAAAAATTAAAAATCTCCAAGCCTGTGGCACAGCCCACCCTATCGACGACTATTCGAAAGTTTTGAGGATCAATCATATTTTTCTATTACCTTGAAAGATCATTTCCAGAAACGGGACACATTTCTACATTTCGATTTCTTCATTTATCCATCCAACGTCTTCTTTGTCTTGCGCGAACATTGCAACAAAAAGGCGCAAGCGAACGACTAAAGTACACACCAGGTTCTTCAGAACATGACCCTGATACATGATAAACCTTCGTATCACATCCAATGCACTCATTTCTCAATATATTCATCAAACCTGATCAGTTGAATAGTTGTTCTTAGATGCCGAGTTTTAGATGAGAGAAACAATTTTTGGAAATAAATTATTTCAAAAAAGTTATCAGAGCTACTATGAAAAAACACGCTTATCTCCAAGTATCTTCCCAGTTTTGCAAGTTAATTGACTTTTTATGTATTTTCCAGTTTCGCATTTTGCAAGCCAAAAAATAAACGAAAAAATCTACCATTTTGCAAGCCAATTAATTAAGAAAAAAATAGATTCTTTCATTTTGTAAGTAATCAGATTTTGTTAATGAAAGAAAGGGTAAGATGATACAGCTTTAACTAAATTCAAAGTGTTCTTAGAATGCGAATATTCTGAATTTTTCAGAAAAGGACTATTGGTTAAATTCACAGTTTCGAATTCAAACGTCTAAAACAACATATTATTCATCGAAGCCTATAAAATGGAGCTACTGTAATACCCGTTCGTCTTAAAATCAAAAGTTATGTAATTTTCAGTTGATGATAATGGTAGTGGTAAAAAGCATCTACATGAGAACAGAAACGAATATGCATTACGGCGAATAAAATAAAAAGAATATCTCGAATATGAGCAAAACGACTTTTAGCAAAAGAAAATGAGCAAAAAGATTTTGAGTAAATTTATATTGAGTAGAAAATTAGTTAAGCAACAAGAGTTTGAGCAAAAAATTTTTGAGAAAAATTACTTTTAGGAAAAAACTGATGACCAAATGGAAGATGGGCAAAAAAGTGAATAACAGATTATATATGTATCATTTTTATAATAGAACAGTAGCCATTTTTCTCAGCAGTTGATAAGTATTGCTCGATGCATCATCAGTTAGTGAAAGATGACATATCATCTTAAGGAAGAAAACGATGCTGAAACAAAACTAGAGACTCAATCTTCCCAGTAGTATTAATGAGTTGATATGAAATGATTAATGAGTTGAACTTAAATCAATTTAAAAGTTGAAATAGATTTTTTGCTAGTTATATCATTCACCCTTAGTAAATGAAAGAATAGATGATACACAATAATTTGAAATATGTCCTTTCTGTTTTTCCTCTTTTGTTCTCCAATGTACTTTTCATTTTTGCTCAAAGCAATTTTGCTCATTTTCTAGTTGCTCAAAACAGATTTGCTCATCGTCCAATTGCTCAAAGTCCTTTTGCTTAACTAATATTTTACTCAAAACTTTTTTGCTCATATTCGGGGTTACCAATAAAAAAAGTGCTCATCATTGGCAATGTATAAGATAAGTTCATTATTACAAGAAAAACTGTTTTGTCAATTAGTAAGGGCTGTATCATGTAAGCTGCGTAGCGTATAAGTATATTTTCAGGTTGGCGGAAAAAAAGGTCGTTTAAAATTATGTTATGTCAACGCTTTTCTTTAATATCATGTCTTAATCGTACGTTTTTTTCTAGTTGATTACTTACAGAACAAAAGAATATATTTTTTTTCTTGATTAATTAGCTTGCAAAATGGGAAACTGGAAAATATATAAAAAGTCAATTAGCTTGGAAACTGGGAATGAGTCTATCTACATTATATAAGACAATATGAGATCCGTTAAAATCAAAATCTCATGTTCTTAGCTAACTCCAAAAACGGATTGTTAACCTATATTGCTTGATAAAAGAAACATGTTTATCTGAGCACGATATATAGAATAGCGTACTTACTTTATGACAAGTAAGCAGAAACGAGAAGTGGGCATACAGCGATAACGTCCTCATCTATTTGTGTTCGTTCAAGTGTCGATGCACAAAAACGAGTTGATTTCACAAACCTCTTTCTTTATTTTTCATTATATAGAAGTAAAAAATGGTAGAAAATCATGGAAAAGAAGGTTTATCCCTAGAGCGTCAACTACGCTCATATATATCGATTCTTCAGTGTCATCTAGCACCGTAGTTTTATCGGAGTAAAGTAATAAATTGTCTAGCAACGGGAAGATGAAAGTCAAAATATTTTCTCTTATACTTAAACAGATTATTAATGCTATCTCATAATTCAATCTCTAACTGAAGAATTTAGCAGGCAGGATCTCCACCCTTTTTTCTTCTTTCAAAAAATGTTAAACAAAACAAAATGCTGTGTGGTTGACGTAATGAATAAGAAATTATTATATACTACAGGGTGATCCAAAAAAATTTACCTCCAATTTACCAGTTTATTCAAATAGAGCAAAGATTTCTGGACAAAATGAGACGTCTCCGAGCTCTCTAAGAACTTTTTTTATGAAACAGCATTGAATTTACGGAAGATCCCAAGAGCATATTTTTCTTGTTTGCCCATTAATTGTCCCGATTTTGGTAGTATGGGACCTTCCGTAAATTGAATACTGTTTCATGAGGAAAGCTCTTCGAGAGCTCGGAGACGTCTCATTTCGTCCAGAAATCTTTGCTCTATTCGAATAAACTAATGATAAAAAGTTCAGTTATATCTGTACACAAGAAAGTCAATAAATACACAAGGAGTAAGTTTTTTTGGATCACCCTGTAATAGAATTTTCATTGATCTACCCCAGTCTCAGAACGCAAAGAAAATAGCGGACAGAATAATAGTTTAAAAATTAGGCGACATATGGTAAAAACAGCTAAAACTCTCCAGTTTTCATACCTGCTCACTCGTTCATTTTCCGATTGTAAGACTTTTATCTGATTTTGATTATCAACAAGTTCCTGTTTTAGTTTCGATATTACTTGTTCCATTCTCACTGTAGCAACCAAATTTGAACTTCGCATCTACAGCACAAGAAAAAAACATTATCTTACTGTCAGTTGATCAGATTTAAATAAAATCATCTTACTTGTTCAAATTTGCTATTTAAATCAAGCTTTTCGTTTTGTAAAACAATAATGCGTTGATCAAGTGAGGCGCTATTACTATTATCTAACAGATTTGAGTTTAATTGTTTATCTTTATCATTCAATGATGATTCCATTTCATTAAATTTTGAATGTAATTGTTTTATTTCATAACGTAATGTCTGCTCAGAAGGAGAAAGAAAAAAACTATAGATGATATTCCATCTTATCTTAAATTATTCATACTTCATTTTCACTTTCCAATTTTTGCACTGTGTTGATGTGCTCAACTTTCATTCGCTTTATATTTGCTTGAAGCAGGTCATTAACGGATGTCACTCGTTTAACTTTTGTGTCGAGAACTTTTTGATCGACATAATTCAATAAATCATGACTAGTAAATGCAGGTAGAGTATTTGATAATGTGGACGACGAAGAGGAAGAATCGTTGTGTGATGCATTTTCTTGGATGGAGAACGATGATTCGTTTAAACCTTCAAAATAAACAAAAACATAATTTTAGCTTTTATGGCAATTCAAAATTCTTTGTAATAATATTATTTTTTATTGTAATCGTAGATGTAGTGAGTTTAAAACTTTGAAACACCTCAATCGCTCTAAACTGCAGCATGATTCTATATAGACGAATGAAATTGATAGTTTACAGTAAAGAATGAAACATAGACTGGATAAAGAGATTCTATTTTTCTAACCTTTGAGCTAGAGACAAATATCTTCACAGAAAGCGTAGATTGCCTATAACAAGACTGACACCCTAGATTGATCGTTAAATCTGCCTTGACGAAGAAATATCGTCGTTTACTTTCTAGCAAGTCGGAAGTTTCTGTGTAGCTTTTCGCTCTTCAAAATGCATTTTACACTATCCCATTCATTAGTCGCATTCGTTCACATGCATCGTTTACTTTCTACAAGATGTTCTTTTTAGTATTCATGAAATAATGTTAACATTTATTAATCGTTTATTTTTTGATCGAATATCGTGTCTGTGACAAAATCATCCATCTATTCTTAAAATTTTTGAGTACGATATACTCATTGATTGTACTATGTACTATATGCTTATAGGGATTAATCAGACTCGTAGTCAATTGTATAAATACATTTTATGATCGACTATTTACCTTTTTTATTTAAACGACGATCAGCATTCAGTAATAAATCAAGAGCATAAGAACTTTTTGGAGAATCAACGGATAATGATGATTTGTTCGAATTTTCATCACGTGATGAGAAACACGGTGATGTCGTTATATCGCTTGACCTTGGTGAATCGTCATTTCGAACACGTTTTGGTAAACCATTTAAAGAAGGCGTGGTAGTAGAAGTACATTGTCGTTTTACTGATGAAGATGATGTGGACGTCGTTGAATGATGCATCAAACGAATAATAATGAAAATTTGTAAGATCTAAAACAAAGAGAGAACAAATGCAGGATAAAAATAAAATCTTTCGGAAAATAAGAAAATTCTTGAGTTTAACAGCAAAGCCTTTTTATTCGTTTGTCCCTTCCTTCTAAATATTTCCGATACATATAATATGCTGTTTCTCGCTCTCTAGCTCTCTCTCGTTCAACTAATCTACAGTGTAATTGGTAAACAGCATAAGCTAATCAAATCAACCATATAACCGAGCGCCACAAGAGCGTATAGTTTAGTTGAAGCAGAGAAATGATCAGCATGAAAGAAATGAAAATGCGAAAGAGTGTGAGCATACATTTTACGAAAACAACTGCAAACCAACTAACAATATTATCTTGTCACCAAAAACTGAGATTAATACACAACATAGCATAAAGTTGCGGATCTTTACACAATTTTCTACGAATAAAAGTTGCTCAAAAACCTCTAGTTCAACGAAAATGATCCCTAATAAATGTACTTGATTCAAGTACTTGATTGCTGGTAGTTACTTTTAAAAACTTAGCAAGTGTACTTTCAAAACTGCTTGCCATGAACTTTTACCAGTACTCACCCAAAATTACAATACTTAGTTTTGTTACTACGAAGTATACATTGCAAAAGTGTCTGCAGTTTTATTTCCAGCGTAAATTTACTCACCGAGAATAAAGATCAGTACTGTCTTCATCAAGCATGCGAAGTGCTTGTTCCAAGTACATTCACTACACTGTAATCTGAAATTATTTTCTACTTTATAGAAAATCTGGAAAATCGCCAAGGATTTTCCAATTTTTATAAAATCCACAGCGATTTTCTGACTGTTTAGAAAATGTTGATTTTCTATAAATTGACTTTTCTCATTTGCCAGAAAATCGATAAGGAATGTCTAAAAAGTTGGAAATTCGACAGCGATTTTCTAAACAGTTGAAAAATCGAATTCGATTTTCGAAGAAGTGATATTTTTCTTGCTTCTTTCACATCTATTAAAGCCTATACATTGCAACAAGTTGTCGTGTAACAGATCTCTGCTCATTTTAGTATTTTTTTTTTTTTAAACCCAGAGCACGTGACCAGCTGAAAATCGAGGCAAGCCCCATTACATTCATCTATAGGTCACGGTCTGAGGCAATGAACATGAATAGCTTGCCCAAGGCCATTACATAGCTGCTGTCATCTAGATGGATTCGAACGCGGCACTTGTAAATACGTTGTCCTAGCCATTAGCTAATACAACCATGCTTTATTTTAGTATTTAACATCGAAAATGTTAGTAGCTTCGGAAAATTCTCTCGGTTTTTGCAAACCAGCATATTCTTCGAGAAGCATTATTCTTGTATGACACTTAGAGATCACAAAGAGGCACTGAAAAGGTTCTTGGGTTGCCTGGTTATGACATAGTCGAGTTCCACCGTAACTTTCTGAAGATCGCAAAGCGATTTGCTCTTGCTAATATCCCTCATTTTTATGTCTGAATTTAGCATCTTCCAAAAATGTACTTGGTTATATTAACTCAAAGACATGGTCCTAATAATTCACATTTATTTTGTTTATTTTTTAAATAAAATAACAATCGTTCAACACGTGAGCGATGTCGTTTGGTTTTCATTAGTAAAAGATCCATATTGTCATCCAAAATAAGCTGAAATAATGCACCCACTCAACTTCGAAGTTCAATAGCTTTTAATAATGGTGAAAAAGTTTATTTTCAGCCATTTTCACGCAAGTCTCTGATTATCGACATTCTCATTCAAACTGTTCTTCCTCATCATCTAGAAAATCCTCAGCGATTTTAGAAAGTAGAAAATAATCCGACTTTTTGACTTTCGAAAAGTCCATATATAAAATTCTTGAGGATTTTCTAGACAGAAATTCGCCGAGGATTTTCTATAAATAATTCCCGACAATGTAGAAAATCGATGTCGATTTTTCACATTATTGGAAATTCGATTTTCTATAATCTGGAAAATTCGTGAGGATTTTCTATATGAAGTTTTTGAAAATCGCTGAGCATTTTCTATAAATAATTCCCGACTTTACAGTGTAGGGAATATAGCCAACATTCCTCTGTAAATTTTGTGTTAAGGGGCTGTTTCTACACCGCTTGTAGCTTAACTTGAACCGGTTTTTAACGATAAGAAAACGGGCTGTTTACGTTCTGCTACTGTTCTGAAAATAAATTATTTTTTATTTTTTTACTCAAAAATAATATTCGTATACTTTCTCAAAGTTTTGGTTTTTTGCAGAGGTGGTCTGAGCAGGAGCAGATCTGTCAGATAACTCCCCCAATAATTGAAAATGATTTTTTCTCACCAGTCAAACCAAAACAAATTTTGGTTCAAAAAAAATTTTCAATGGACTCTCTCCAAAATTTTTTTTGTGGAAAAGCAGTTTAATTTTAGAAAAAAACCTTAAAAATATTTTGATTCTCCAATGCTAACAGTCCGGTGTCATGACTTATATCCTTATCGGGATAAAATCCCGATTGGCCTATACGATATATTTCGATTGGACTATAAATCCTGATCGGGATATTCTGCATAACCCAATCAATCTATCAAAATAATGAATATTGTTTTGGAGACCCATTTCATATTGTATATTTTTGTTTTCTCATAAAATATATTTTATGAGAAAACAAAAATATAAGTTATCCGACTTTGTATATTTACAAAGACCCTATGCTACTTAAATGTCTGTTCATATTTTAATAAAAAAACGGGCAATGCCATTCGAGAGAGGGTTCAAAACTGATTCAGATTCCATAGGGGTCGGTTATGACACATTGTTCAGAATACTATATAAAATCCGATGAAAACTCGCACATCCTGATCGGGATATAAAATATATCCTGAACGGGGTGGGCTGTTTTTGTTTTTCCAAAAACGTTTGTTTTGGGGAAAAATGAAAGGTGATTACTGAAATCCAAAAGCACCATCGGATAGTGCACTACTTATAAATCATTGCGGATCTTCAAGTATCGGATGATGACAACCGGAAACTGAAAGGTTTTGTCATCGTGCTAATATAGGCTGCGTAATAGAGTCCTGCGGTAACAAAAAAATTCCACTATCTTACCGTTACCATTACCACGGTAATCGTAATGGTAAAAAAAGGATTTTAATTCCTGGTAATAGATGGTAAATGGTAACAAAAATTTAAATTCAGGGTAATGGTAATGGTAGTGGTAACGGATACTTTTCAGCTTCCAGTTCATAATCCTACCATCTCTTTATTATAAATGGTATCGTGTATCACTTTGGTATATATAATGCATTCAAACGTTATATAACGTTCAGACTAGGGCTGTGGCAGTTACCAGTTACCATTACCATCGTTACTCGGTAACGGTAACTGCTGAACAGTTGCCGTTCCTGGTAACGATAATGGGTAAGCAGTTACCGTACAAGCAACGGTAACTGTTCAGTATATCTTTCAAGTGTCAAATTTCTGAATATCTAGGTACTTAGCGAGGGTGAGGCTACGAACCCCTCACCTCACCCTTACCCTAGGTACCTAGATATTCAGAAATTTGACACTTGAAAGATATACTGAACAGTTACCGTTACCGCTACAAGAAACGGTAACCAACCAGCAGTTACAGTTACTGTAACGATAATGGTAACTCTGATAGCTCAGGCTAGTCAATGTTCCTCCATATTCTATATTTTGTGCCTTATGCACGTGTTTATGTTTTTTTCTTTTCCTTCTGTGGGAACATGTTCTATTACCACGGGGATTTCATCACCATTACCACGGGGATTTCATTACTATTACCACGGTATGGTAATAGTAATGGTAAAACATTCATGATGATGGTAATGGTAATGGTAATGGTAATGGAAGAATTTCTATCGATGGTAATAGTATAGTAAACGGTAATGAACAAGTCATGATAACAGGATTCTACTGCGTAAACACTTTTGTCGCTCTCTATTGTGAAACAAAGCTTGCGAAATATAAAATCAATTGACGACGAAACATGGTCGTCCGTTGACAGCTTAAGTGAGAAAGAAAAAAAATTACTTTTATTAAATTTAGTTAAGGTGTACGTAATACAGAAATAAAGCAGAATGTTTTGTCTAACTTATTATACATGATTGAATAGAGCTCATCGAGCTGATTAAGAAAATGTATTTCATAATTTTAAAAACAATTTTTTTCATGTCGAAAAATCGAAAATACTTCAAGGACGTAAAAAGTCGAAAAATCGCTTAATTCCAATAAAGTTCGAAGTTTTGTCTTGTTTGTTCTTCTAACTTTTCCAAAGTTGTTTTTTCTCATTCAGCGTTAAAAACTGAATGTAAAAGTGGTGTTTGATCAATTCTGAAGTCAAAAGCCTGTTCAGTAGGGACACTTCTAAAATGTGAGGAAGGAGTTTTGTAAACCTATCTATGTTTTTTGTGCTAAGCGATGGAGCTATTATTTGCATCTCGATACATTCGCTGAAAGTCCAACTTTAAAAGTATGGCTCGCTTTTTTAAAAATGTTGAGCCTGCGAAAGTTTTCCTACATATTGGAGAGCCTTGAAATCGTAGTTGAGAATACTAATATTCTAGAATGGTCAGTGTGTGCAAGAAAGGGAAAACGGTCTGTATAAGATACAACAATTGTTGTTAACGAGTCGTTTTGGGGTGACCGTTCATGGTCAGTTAACAAACCGTTACGACTGACCCGTAGGGCTGTGACAGTTACCATTATCGTTACAGTAACTGTAATTGCTGGTCGGTTACCGTTCTTTGTAACGGTAACGTGCAAGCAGTTACCGTACAAGTAACGGTAACGACCAGTTACAAGTAACGGTAACTGTTCAGTATATCTTTCAAGAGTCAAATCTCTAAATATATAGGTATCCAGGGTGAGGGTGAAAGTTCGTAGCCTCACCCTCAACCTGGATACCTATATATTTAGAGATTTGACTCTTGAAAGATATACTGAACAGTTACCGTTACTTGTAACTGGTCGTTACCGTTACTTGTACG